AATCAGACAGTAAGATCCCCTACTGTCGTATCTCTGATCTTATATAATCTTGTAAGATCAGATGAAATCATACGAAAAATCATAAAGTCAGATCATCGTATCAATTCGTACTGTAAGATTTCTGTAAGATCTTACAAAAATATTATGATCTTATAGGATCTTACAGAAATCTGACTTTATGATTTTTCGTATGATTTCATCTGATCTTACAAGATCTGTGTCTGATTTTTTGGCCTGGGTTTGTAAAAAAAACGTAAGAAAAAAGACATTTAAAAAAATATCGACTAAACCTTATGAGTTGAAAAAAATTCTTTCCAACAACAATAACAACAACAGTAGCATACCAACTGCTCTCAAATTTCCGATCGTGGTAAGTTGTTAGGAAGAAGGGTGTGGGTGCCCAGAACGTCAACACCCACATCCTCAAGAAGTAAAATGGATAGAGAAAATTCTTGAAGTGTAGATCAGTGAATGTAAGTTTTTGAAGTAAGTGGAGTGATAATAAAATTTTAATGGATTTGTGAATCTTTTTTTTACATAAAAGCAACAAACAAGAAGTTTTTTCATCGTTGAAATTATGAAAAACAATGAATACATATTATTCTTACGAACATATTCTAACTTAAAAATACTTGTTGAAATGAATATTCAAAAACAACAGAAAATATGAACACTAATATTGCATTGATATTATATAACTTCTTTGTATTTCGTAGAAACTTTACATCTATAATATGTACACTATATATTTACTTCTTTTCATATATTTCTGTGTTTTCCTTGTGGGTGTGGGTGCGAGTGTTAGTCAGTAAAAAATACTCGCACTTACACCCCAAAATACTGCAACAATAGTAAAATTTTGTTTGAAAAGATTGTTAAAAAGTCTTTTATTCGAAAGTTTCTGAATCGACAGAGGAAATTCCCGTAGCAGCTATCTTCAAGACTGATGTTTCAAATAGTGTATATGGCATGAAACTAAATCTTGTTTTCTTACTTTTAACAACTGGAATATTTTATTTATTTGATTATTACTAATCACAATGATCAATAATAAAAAGGGCTTGTAGACGCACATATTTTTTGTCCAATATTGTGAAAATCTAATTATTATATTGAGATTAAATAGATGAATATTATAGAAAACAACACTATGAAGGTGTCGTTGTTTTACTTTCAGATATTAATCATCGTAAAGAGTTTTCTTTCTAATAACCATGGCTACAGCAGGTGGAGGAGAAGAAGCGACAGCGCAACGTATATTACGTATTACTGACATCATCGATGAGCCACTTCAATTTATCGCACCCATTGGTGGCTATGAAGAAATGCCACTAGTTACACTTGAAAAAGCTGTCGAACCACTTGTTTCTATTCTACCAGCTGTACAAAGTCATGCATATGTTGCCAAACAAAGATGTGAGAATCCTGCCGATGGATTGACACAAGATGAATCTGCCTCAATCATGTTATACACTATGGGCTGGAAGCCACTTGGTAAATGTCTGTATGTCGTTTTGAACAATACATTAAGATCCCCAGATCGTCAGCAAAGTCTTTAACAATGTTA